TTTAATTAGAAGAATTAAGATAAATTATATTTTATTCTTTGTAATTTAATTTGATTTGATTTTTAAAACAACAAAATTATTCTTTAATTTAATGATATTAAAATTTAAGTAAATATAATGGAAAACTATTGAGAAAAATTAAATATTATGTTAGAATAAGATAAGTAACAATTAAATTTAGAAGTTAAAAATTTAATTTGAAACTAAGAAACTATGATGCTTTATAAATGAAATTTGATTCTGAAAATAATAAAAATGAAAGAGAAATTTAGAATTTAAAAATGTATGCTTTAAGAAAAAAATGCTTAATTAGAAAATGATTTAGCAAGAGAGAAAGTATTTGAATCTTAATAATTTTTAGGAAAAAATATATTAGATGGAAAATAGTATCAGAAGTTTGGACAATGATATCCATAAGCTTTAATTTAAATAATCCTTATAATAATTATATTTATGGAATTAAGAATTACCAAATAATCATAAAAATCAGATAGAATTAACAGAAAATAGCCAAATTAATTCAGGGTTTGTTTCACCTTATTCAAATCATTTTGGATATTGAATACATAATCAAATGATATTGGAGTACAAAATCATTAAAAGCAAATGCTCATTATTAAATTTAAGAATCTTTAGATCATAGGTAAACTAGCCCTGAGAAGCTTATTAAAAGCGAAAATTATGATTTGAGATTCTAAAAATTAACTCAAAAATGAATATCATTGATAAATCATATTTATTTAGAATTAATTTTAGTTTATATTTTAAGAAAATTACATGAAATATTATTATAATTTGAAGCTAACCAGAATTGGCTGTTTATATAAATCTTAAAATTAAAAGATTCTTGATGAATTATTAAATATAATTCTATCTCAATAATGTATTCAATTAAGAATAAAATTGAAAGTAAACCAATATTTTTAAGAAACTTTAGAACTAAATTTATTAAAACTTCTTTTCATTAAAGAATAGGCATATAAATTATGTATAATAATTTAGTTATTGAAATTTAAAAATTTGGATTATAGTGAAACTTTTTTTGATTATGACAAGTTTTACTAGAAAGAATAAGTTTTGAAAAAGGAATAATAAGTAAACAAACTAGTACATGAACAGATAGAATGAAATAGCATTAGAATAATGTAAATGAAATGAATGACATAAAATATATATAATTTTAATTAATATCGTCTGACAAACTTGTGGTAATAGAATTAAAGGAAGAAGAATTAGAAGAGTTGCTTTTCAGATTTGTTGTTGAAGCAGAAGAAAGAGAGGAAGATTTATATTTTGAAATTGCTGCCAATAGACCAGATTTCTTATAGATTGAAAATTTAGTGCATGTATTAAGAGTATATATGAGATTGAAATAAAAAAGAATTTATAAGGTTCTTCCTGCAAAAGAAACTATTTTTGGTATTTTGTAGACATAAAAAATTAGGACTATTTGTTGTTGGAGCAATATTGAGAGATGTTACATTAAGAGAAGATAGTTAAAATCCTTAGATTAAATTCATTAAAAGTAGGAACTCATGATTAAGATAAAAAAGAAGATCCTTTCTTTTATGATTCATAACCCCCTTAAGATATAGTATTTTAAGCACTGAAATAAACTGAATAGATGAATTGAATCGATTTATTTAATAAAGTAAGAGTAATTATATTATTTATCAATTATAGGAAGATTTATACTTAAAAGGTTATATGAAGATAGTTGAAAATTCTCCTATTTATCCTTTTATTTATGATAATTAAAAGAGAGTTTTTACATTGCCATCAATAATTAATGGAGAGCATTCAAAAATGTCAGCAGAAACTAAAAATGTACTTATTGAAGTTACAGCAATAGATAAAGAGCTTTACAATACTTTAAATTGTTTGATTAGTGCATTTGCCATGTACAATAATAAATTACATATTGAAAAAGTCTATATTGTTTATGAATCAAATAATAAATAAGTTGTAATACCTATAGTAGATGAAAGAACATTAACAACAAATATTTAACATAATAATAAAGTTTTGGGAATAAATATCAGTAATTAAATTAATAAGATAAATGAATTCAATGTTATTAAAATAGAAATTACAAATTGAAGAATTAATTAAATAAAAAAAAAAACTATAGACCTAATTAAACGGGCAAATAAATTATTCTGCTTTCACAATTTGAGGATTCATTAAAACTAGTTAATTTGGAGGTTAAAGCAAGGTTAATTAGATTAAACAAATGTAAACCCTTTTGCGTAAAGATCACAACTTATTTACGATGTCGGAAATTAAATCAATTCACAAAAAGAATCGCAATAACCACATAATTTACATTTAGATGATTGTTTATTAGCAAAATGTTCTTTTATTTGAATTATTTGACCAAACTCTAGATGGCAGAATTCTTATGTAGCTAGCTCTAAATAACTTATGATCAGATGAAAAGTTAATACAAATATACATACTGTCAATATATTCGCAAATACTCTCCAGAGGTGTATAACAATTTTTTTTAAATAGACAGCTTTTTTATAACAACCTTAATACTTATTGTCATTCAAGATACTTTCAAAAGTTGCGTATGTGCGATTTGAAGTTACTATTTTCATATTCACATTAGATAACTTTTGTATTAGCATCACCAATAGATGTATTTAATTTGATAGCTTAAAAAAATGCTGACTCATTTGAATTATTAATATCAAGGCAAAATAATCTTAGCATTAAGATGATGGAATAACATTAATTATTATAATAGTAACATCCTTTATTTAAGTATTTAGGGTTTAAAAAAGCAATCTATTAAAATCTTAGCAGTTGAGATTATCTATATGTAATTTGAACAATTTTTTAGATATTTATTCACAATTATAATAGTTGCATTTGTTATCTCTGATTTATACTCCCAAATTGATCCATAATAGCTTTTTAATAAGCACTTTGTTCAGTGATAGTATTAGTAAAGTTATTTTGTTATGAATTTTCAAAATCTTTATAATTTATAGAAAATAGATTTTTTAAATTAGAATCAATTTATCTACTTAATCAGAAAATAATGTGCCATTAAATTGATCTCATGTAGTTCTTTGAAGCACAACTGACTCCATTAGATGCACCCTCTAGAAATCATTACATTATTTATAAGGGAGTACAGATTAAATATTAATTTCACACAAAGTTATTTATTAGCAATGAATGTACTACATTATTATTGTATGCTATAAAAGGCTATGAATTCAAATGTCTCCTTGGCACAAGAATTCAAACCATTCCAAAGAGAACCATTTAGGAATTTGGTCTACCTTCCGTTAAATTTTGTGTAATCACTTTATTTGTTTACACATCATCACCAGTGTAAACACAACTTTAGATTACCATTTAGCATAAATTAATTATTAAAATTAGAAAATTTTTTATAGTCTATGCAAGATTAATTCTATTAGCATCCTGCAGTACCTTAACAACTTATCACTATCATAAGTTAACATTTCTATTAAAATTTTCAGGATCACCAACTGTATCGTTTTGTTTGCATATCCCATCTGAATTCTGACTATTTTAATTCCAAATCTTGCTCCTTAAGCAATCTATATTAATAACAAATGCAATAATGTTATTAACAAATTTTATAAATTACTTTCAAGATATTGTAAATACTCATCTTAAAATAAAAAA